TTTTTTTTTTTTTTTTTTTTGCTGTTACTCCTCATGCCCGGATTATTTATTGAAACTTTAACGAAATATGGCGTTAATAGTACTCTTATAAATTTCCGGTGGCACCATAAGTCTTTTTTAAGAATTTTTCTCTTAAATTTTTTTGCACATAGAACTTGGATAACATCCGCTACAACCAAAATAGTTCCTTTATTTTTCTGCTGCTAATGTCAGTTGTAACAGCAGACAAATTTTCTTCAGAATAATATTTGTCATTTTTTTTGTCCTTTAACACTACGTTGTCGGGTATCTGGAATTTTAAAATTGACATTTTTACTATAACTACCGGCATTTACACGTTGTATAATACCCTAATTTCCTAACAACATTTTTTTCAGCATCAAATCTTACAAAAAATCAACCAGAAAATTTTCGCTCTGCTTCCCCTGCAAATCATAGAGTGTTATAAATGAGTTTTTACTATTAAAAATTAAACCTGTTTTAGCTCAACAATTTTTTTTCTTGCACCTTGAATCAAATTTTATCTCATTGTTGATCATTACTTACTCAGTTCTTTAAAGCAAAATATAGTTGATAACGCAGCAGAAATTCTACCAATAAAACAGTAATATAAAATTGAACACGTTCTGACCAGACAGTATATACAAAAGTAAATAAATATTGATGGAAAATTTAAACGAATCAATGCCTTCTATGGTCATAAAAGTTGGAACATTGCTGTAAGAGAAGTACAATAGTAACAAAGAATTATAGAACTCACTATTGACAGCTGTACTGCTGCATTGATCTATCCAAATCGGAATCGATAGACGGAGCTTTTGACACAGCTGGTGTCCGGTTGACTCAGACTGATGCAGCCAACATTTATTACACATAACATTGTGTTCAGTGGTGTCCAACAATTCATTAATAATTTCCTCTCATGAAATTATAAATATGTCGATATTTCATTAGATCCTTCTTGCATTCTTGAAAGATTAAATTTTTTCTTCCCTTACATTCTTTTGCTACATTTACTAATTACGCAGAAAATATTAATGCCTACACAAACTAGTTTAATTTCAAAAAAGAAAAAAAAAACCAACTTATTTTTTTCTCTTGCCATCTCTTCATTGTCCTTCCTTAAGCTAATTGAATGGTAAAGGACAAAACGAGGATGCTTAACAATTTTTAAGAAGTGTATTTGCTTCAGACGAGGTTAAAACAGAACGTTTCCGTGCTATAGTAAAAGGGATTTCTTTTAAGATGGATATCATAAGATTCTAATGGGTAAAATTGTTTCGAATGAGATCTTGGTTGAAATTACATGTGTTCAAAACGAAGAACACCCACAGTAGTTAATACTATTATATAGATTAATTCAGCGTCTTGTTTACTGTTTATCACCTACTGGACCAGGAGCGACATCAAATATGTATTGAACCACCTTTCAGTTGAACGGTATTTTTTAACATAATGATACTCATCAACACCATTTATGTGTAAAATGCGAAAGTAAACCACTAACTTATACAACCGCCCAAGAGACCTCAGGATACCATATAAAAACTCAGAGATTCTTCCTGTAGTCTAAAGGTTACGCTAAATATGGAGAGAAGCTAAATTTATGAGAGAAATCTTATACCTTGCAGAAATTAGTGGGATTTAGAAGGACCGCCACAAACTAAACTTTCTGTTCCTTTCTACTTCTGCTTATTTTCCCGTGACGCGGACTTGGCTTATTTCAGGTCCCACACGAGTCCTGATTTTGGCAGAATAATAAAGCAGAATTATACTGTGAACACTCGCTTTTTAAAGTTTTAATTATACATATATGCTTATAATACGCAGATACCTTTATCTCACTTCCCAAATGCTTTCTTAAAAAAATGAACTCCCTTTCATATTGTTTTTTACCATTTACTTCATATGAGTTTCAAAATGACAATTCCCTTTCTCTTCGAGGTTTACTGCAGCTTTTGGGAAACCACCCTTTTACTAAGATACCCGTAACTACAAATCAGAGTCCAACTCCCCTGTAAGAATTTCTCACCCTGTTACGCCTCCAGACTACTTTTAATATAAAGTTGTCTACCATATTTTACTACATCTGTTGTAAGGGGACCTTACAAGAGCGTTGAAGCACGTAATTAATGGCTTCTAGCAACCAAAGCATATCCTGAAAAATAAAAAGAAAAATGGCTCCGCCTTCTGAACTGTATTTACTTGAAATCCTCAAATTTTTACAAGCCAACGGAATCAGACGGTAGCAAGTTATACAAAGAGAGCAAAAGCGGACAAACTCTAGAAAAGTACCAATGAGTGAGACATATTAAAACGTCTCAAAGACTAACTGCCATTAGAAGTCTTTATAAAAAAAAATCAGCTTTTTTGTGGCACGGGGCCCTCGCACCAAAGAATCTTTTCCAGATCTGCGGAGAGTAAAAATTATGTAGTGAAATTTTCATAAAAACTGTTATTACGAGGTTTGTCCGCGTGGCTTTCCAGAAAAAATATTGTTTCAAAAAAGTGAAAAAATACCTGTGCTAGAGAAGAATGCTGCAACTTTGAACAAAAAGTAAAATACAGCTGCAGAATCAACTTCTAGAATTTTTGAACAGAAAAAACAACCGAGAAGTTCCAGTACACAGCACTACATGAACGACGACAAGAATATACTCTAAACCCGTTTGAATATGATGAGATAGATTTGATTTACACGGAACTTAAGAAAACAAAACAATTTAGAAGAAAAAAGCATCTGAAAGTGAGGTAAACTTTATGACTTTATGACTGAACATATTTATATGCTAATGTTCGAACCGCAGCCCACAAAGTACGCTCTGCAGTTCTAGAATACTGATCAGATACGCTTGACAACAGCGAAGACGCATTGTCATTGTCATCGTCTGCAGAGCTCCTCCGCGCCACTGTGTTCCTGCAACCAGTCCCCTTTATAAAGAGGTACTTAACAGCAGAAAATGAAGTGAAAATTCAAGCAAATAAGTAACGGGTGGCAAATTTTCAATCCTTACGTCTGTGTGTTGTAGATAAGAGCTATAAGTTGCTTAGTGGTGTCAGAACCTCGTTCTGTGAAATCCACACGTGATGGTCGCAAGCAAACCTTAAAGCAAATTGCAAATCTGTTAGGAAATGAAAGTAATTTCTTAAAGCATGTCTGCGGAAAATGTGTAGGACAATAAATCTGTTAAGTACACTTTCAAAAAAATTATGCAAAGTTTATCATCTAAAAGTAAAAAATTGATACCAAAACGAGGACATTAACATTAGATGGGTCAATTATAATTCCTGGAGTTACTCGCATACGCTGAGTCATGCTGTCAGTACTTGATGTCACTAATTGCAGAGCCGGTTTCCAGGGACTATCCTCTCTCCACATCTAAATATAAAACGAATTGCAATTTATTAAATTCTGCCAAAGTATATTTGTAGAAAATCATATAAGCAAAGTCTAATATTTGGAGAATAAATTTCATTTGATCAAATAACTCCGAATCTTCTCTTTGTTAAGTAAATAAACTATATAAGGTGGCTTTTTACTCCAACAAAATTAAAACATTCGTCATGAACTCAGAGCATATATACAATTTTCGTAAAAAATAACAAAAATATTGTAATAAAAAAGCCATAAACTTTTTCAAGTGTAGAAGATAAAAGTGCAAGTAAGTGCTACAAATAATCTCTTTTTTTTTATACACGTCAGTATGAGAAGTTTGTGTTGAGAAAATCCTCAGGGAAGTAGTACAATTAAGCTCATTTCTTCCAGTAACTGGTACAAATAAAGCTAAAAAATATTTCTTGAATCAATTTACCATTTGAGCTTCCATTATTTGAGTCATAGCAGTAAAAGTACCCATCGAAGTTGAACGACATGCATTAGCGAAAGCAATCACAGCAAGTTCGTTACCCAGGGGTGCTACACATTTTTCAAAATACCGCTCAGCAACCTCAATTTCTCCTCTTGATGGAACTTCATCGCTTTCTGAAATATTATCACTTATTACATGAAAAAACACTACCAAAGATATCTGAGAAAGTGAAGAATAAGTTGTCAAGAGTAAATAATCAGTCTTAATAAGATGAAGAGAATGAAATAACCATATTTCAGTTCCAACTTGAGACTCATTGTCCTTTCGTCCAGATAGATGTTCAAATTCAGAAAATCATGTTTCACTGCTGTTGGAACAGCGCATGGCACTGAAAACTGGACACATTCTCCATTGTGTTTTAAGTAACCGAACTGAATCGCCGGCAGTGAACCAGCACGGTGCTCGTTCTGGTAATTTTCTAGAGCTGGACCTAATCTTGCAAGATACGCCAAGGCATATAGATACTCGTACAAAGGGCAGAAACCTGTTAAAAGTTTATTAAGCTCACTAGTGTATTAGAAAAACTTTCTGAGAAGTAATCTACATAATAGGGGTGGTGCAAGATTACCGGTAGGATCGACAGTAGTAATGCGTCGCAGTGCAGCGTGATCTATAAGGATAGGCGTTCGCGACAATGACGCATTTTCCGACGAACGCATTGGTGACAACTCTAGTTCTGACGGCGGCACGGAAAGAGAGACGTGAGAAATCGGAGACGATGTCAGCCGCATAGCTGGAGAGCGACTCATCTGTAAATTAGATTTGTGTACCTTTAAACCTTTAAAAAACCAAAGCAATAAAAAATGCAAAAAGTACATGATGCGGTAAACTACTGGGAGCGGATGGGGAACGCAACCAGTTCGGACCCGGCGAGTGGCCGTCGTGGATCGTTGAAATCATCTCTTGGCTAAATATGACTAGCTTTAAAACATCCGTGTTAAAAAGATTTTAATTAGTCATGAAGGCTTATATGCATAGAAACTGTTTGCTATGAGAAAAAATTGGTTTAAAAAAAATAAGGATAAAAATACTCATTGACCAGTGCCTTGAAAATTTGTTGCAAAAACTACGAAGATGGAAGGCTGCTGCTGCTCTTCTACTAGCATCTCTTATTCCAATTTTGGAATCTCCAAGAAGTAAGAATTCCAGCGTGACTGCACCAAACGAAAGTCGTAAAGTGGTTTCGTTAACAGCTACCAAGTTGGTCTAAAGCAGTTTCTAAATTCAAAAAGCCAGACTATAGAGCACCTTAAACTAAGTCCTCTGAGAAACTACCGGTGCACAGTGTTACAGCAAAACAGGAACAATATAGACTTAGCTTCAAAAAAGCCCTAACTGCACATTTTTATGAAAATTTGTAAATAACAGTAAAGCATTCTTCAATTGTGAAGCAAGAAAAAACCCACCTGTAAAGCAATTGGTAAAGCAGTCTCATAGCCCATAATCTGCGCGTAAGTACGTAAGGATTGAATGCGCATATGAGCGAAACTATAAAGGCAAGACAGAGGCTCAACTGTCTCAATGAGATACTGCATGAGCTCGGCCAGAGACCTTTTCCTGTTAAACATATCTTGTAGTCGAGCTTGAAGTATCGTATGAGGATTCCATGATCTAAAAAAATAAGAGCTTCTTAATTGAGCAGCTGCCAAGAGAATAATTCAGGTTAGACATTCAAAGCGCTGCTTACAAATCCTTCACAGGCAGAAAAGAATTCTTTCCGTTTGCAACATCACGCATTGAACACATCCCAAAGGTAAGATGAAAATACTGTGCTGGTTTCGGCGTCTTTTGCACTTTCCACGTAAGTAACATCAAATTGTTTCGCAGTTCACCGTAAGCAATAACCAACTTATAATATGTGAATGCAGAAATCTAAAAATGTGGAAACAATTGCCGGAAAATAACTAAACGAAATAAAGATAAGCTAAAAAGTAAACCACAAAACGGAATCAAGTAACAACATAAGGTAAGGCCCAAATTCAACCAAAACAAAGACAAAATTCCAGAAAAAGGTCTAAGACCTGAGTTAACAAATTCAGTCTTAAAAAAGCAAAAAAAAAAAAAAATAGACAAAGGTTAAAACCCACATTACAAAACCTATGAAAGTGGAGATAGTAAGCCTTAGCAAACTGTTTTGCAATTTCGTACATGTGAGAAAACACAATCAGGCGTTCAATCATTGAGAGGTACAGATTCTCCGAAGTGCTCAGTTGTCCTAAGCCTCCGTTGGCGAAAATTTCTAGCACAGTTGTCTTAGTCTGAAACAAAAAAAACAAGACCCAAAGTTGGATAAAAATAGAAAAGTACTTTACCCGTTCCGCTTTGGTAGAAGCCCGTTCGGCACTATCGTAGTAATCGGGTGTAAGAGGGTTTTCAGATAACGTGTATTCGAACGGCCATATGACCCTGGCTCTCGTATCTAACCGTAAACAGCAGTTTACTAGCAAATCAAAGAAATCTTTTGAACCGGTTGTGATCGCTTCTGAGAAACTAAAGAAATCAATGTTTCTGTTCTGTGTGCATACAGTATATAAATGATTTGAAGCGGTCCCATTCATCGTAGTAAAAGAGAAAAAATTCATACTTTGCTTCCATACGTTTGTTTACCTCTTTTCGTGGAAACTCATCAAACTCTAATAAATCTTTTGTAATCGGAATCTCTTATTCCAAAAGCATTCCCAACTAGTCAGTACAAAAATAAATTAACACTTACTCAGTGATACGCAGTATAAGTCCTCCCACCACATGCTCCGTTTCTAACGGCAGATACTTAACTTTGCGTTTGTCAAGTTCGTCACATAATCGCATGAAAGCTAAACGATCATCAATAGCGGCAATAGCACTTGTCAACTGTTTAGTACTACCAAGCCAACGCTGTCGCTAAAATTGATAACTGACATTCGAAAGTATAATTAAAAACCTAAAAAGAACACTAACTGTAGCACTTGGGTCCTCACAATCAGAACGAAAATTTGCAGAAGTCCAAGTTTCTAACATCTGTGAAGGATGTAACTGCAATCTGCTTGTTCTTCCATCAATAGATGAAAAAAGATAGATCTCAAGGTCAATTGTTCCTTTATTTTTTCCTTTAAAGGACACAACCTGCAAAATTGATGCACAACATTTAAAAATGTATCCATGCTCGTTTAGAATCCAAGACTAACGTCCAAAAAAAGATATTATGAACTTGCAGCGCACAAAAAATTATTTTTTTGCCAACAAGATTTAAATTTGCTGCTTTACGCAGTTTAGCAAACAAAAGTTTTTTTAAATGAACTTGACAAAGAAAATCTCGGCGTACTAGGAAATAGATATCCTCTTTAATAAACTGAAAGCATAAACGATCAAGACCAATAATTTTCAGGCTTGAAAACTGTGCATAGACAACACTCTCGTCGACGATGCGCACAGGCAATGGAGCGACGGCCTTTCGAAATCGTTCCATCATTAACAGAACTCTTAAAAACCACTATAAGAATGAAACAATTTAAATCATCGAAGCAAGAGGAGTTTCAAGTCCATGACATGAAATTCTAGACGTCATAATGTTGATAAAATTCAATAAACATTTCTTACGAAATTACTCATTAGTAACATGAGGTTAAAAAACAAAGTTTTATAAATAATAACCTTAAGCGAACAATAACGGCAGCAACCTTTTCCAAAAAAGCATCCTCATTTAACAAAAGAGCCAACTCTTTAACTTCCTTACAATCCCCTGAACGTAAAAAAATAATCATTAGGCAACTTCATAAATTAACCCACAAAGCAAAAAACAAATACTACGCGTAACACGTTTTACAAAAACAAAAAATAAACAGATAAAAAAAGTGTAGAAATCAGTGAAAGTTTACCAAGTGCAGCCACAACTGCTTCCAACCGACCAGAGAAGCTGTTTACAGAAACTACCAACTTTTCGCTAACATGAGAATTTCTTTCTAACAAAGGATAAGTCAACGTGAAAGTTGCATTTCCAGTTAAAATTACTCGAGTTAATGGCTTTATTTTTTCTAAACCACTACGAACTCTTAATAATTTCTCATGACAACGAATAGACATGGTTTGAGATAGGATTTTGTTCATTGATAAGCGCCTGAAAAATATTTCATTAATTAATCAGTTACGAGCAAAAGGGAAATAATAATATACCCGGAGCGATCATCGATCCCTGGAAGTCGTTTATTAGGTGGGTAATGCCTTATACGCAAACCTGAGTGAGGATCATTGCGATCAATGAAAATTTTAATGCGGTACTGTGACACATATCTAAAAGCTTGGAAAAGAATTAATTTACTTCACCTAGTAACAAAGTTTTTTGCGCACATGAAATGAAAATCAAACAGTAAAAAAGCAAACTAGCCGACAAAAATCCAGAAAAACAACCTCTTCTGTTGGGTCCATCGAAGCCAATAAGCAATCACTAAAACGCCTTCCTCACGACTGTAGCTTTCAATGGTTGCATACTTCCTCATATGACCACTAATTACTTGAGTCGCTTGACAGAACAATATATCTAATTGAAGAGACTGAGCAACAGAGTGCAGGATGTTATAAGCTTCTTTCAAAGGCTAAAAATACAAAAGTGGAAAAAAAGGGAGGGAAGCAGAACAATACTTAAAAATAAATGTATTATAGAAAATGTACAAAATAAAAATGAATATTAAAAACCTCTTCACTTTGATCCATCCGTAATTGCAGCAAATTGTGAACAGAGTTAACTTGTAAAGGATGAATCAACTGTGTTCCAAATCCAATTTCATAATCTTCAACAAGAAAGCGAATGTTCAACAATGTCCACTTTGTAGTCGGTTTTTGACCCAATAATGTCAATGATATTTCAAATTCTCCAGGCACAATCAAGGTAACCTGAAAAAACAAAAATATAACAAAGAAGCGCTTAGTCTGAAGCAAGAAGTAGCTAGGAGAACTAACCATTCCGTTCTTAAATGTTATTTCTCTAATCCGATGAGACAGGGAAGCGGAAGATTGCGAAAGTTTGGTTTTCAAGACTTGGTTCAATCGATAAAGCACTGAGGTCTCTTCCCGCTTTGTTATGGAATGGTCCGTGACAAACTGTGACTAAAAATGGTTGGTTATTACTCTAGTAAAAAAATACTATTTCGTCCGGAGAATAAAAGCAAGCAAAAAAAAAAGGATTGTCTTTTATAGTAAAAAAAAATTTGAAAAGATTATCATCCAAAGAGCCCAAGTAATTATATATCTTTAAAACTGATTAGTGATGGGATTAACCTTGTAAATTGCAGCTGCATTAAAGTCAAAAACAAGATGTAAACTATTTAGCAAGTTCAAGATTTTGACTGCCGCATTTAATTATCAATAAGAAGTTAATACAAAGAACACTAGAAGCAGAAAGATATTAGAAGTTACCGTGATGCATACTGGGAGACGCGGAAAGTCACCTAAGGTCAAAACATCAATTGCTGCTGGCACTTGGAAAGCTGGAAGCCTGCAGAAGCTCAGCTTGAGAAATGCATAAATATTATGCATTGATATCCATTTTATTTCTATTTCATAGACAATCTTTTGCATAAAAGAGTCTTCTAAGAATTATTACAAAGTACTACAATGCAAACCCAGTACCTACTGTTAACGAAGCAACAAATATAACTAACCTGGCATGCACTAGCTCCTCTCTTGCTAGAGTTACCAAGTAATCAGCTGTGTCAATAAAGTACTGTGCTTGTTGATCAAGGAAATAACAAATAGACTTAAAATTTGAAATAATTAAAGCAATAAGAAAGACAGTTGCATTATTTATGTCTGAAGAAGGAATTAAAGAAATGAACTTACCGCACACGAGTCGAACTTCTTTGATGACTTTAGCCATTTAACAATAGCCAAAAGTTTGATAAACAAGGTGCGAGTAGAGTGAGCAAACTGTACAATGCTTATTTTTCTATCAGCATCCAGTTTTTTTGGTAGGCTAAAATTAATTTCTCTCCCAAATAAGATGAATAAAAG